TTTATGCTGGGCTCTCACAGCTTTAACGTTGTCCTCTCATTCAGTTCTGCTCCCATGGCTGTGACTATGCACCCCTCCAGGGACTGCCCTTCACAGCACAGTCTGAACCAGTGGTTCTCAACCTGTGGGTCGAGACCCCTGGTGTGTAGGGGGAATCCAACAACTCTTTCACAGAAGTCTCATATCAGATGTCTTGCATATCGGATATTTACATTACAATTCATAACAGTAGCAAAAGTACAGTTATGAAGAAGGAATGAAAATAATTTTATGGTTGTGGTCACCACAGCATAAGGAACTATATTAAAGGGTCACAGCGTTAGGAAGGTTGAGAAGCCCTGGTATATGAATGGAATTAGTGCAGTGTCCCGTCTGCAGGGCTGTGCTAGGTGGGTCTTGTTCTCCAGCCTGCTTCCCCTTGCCCAGCTGATTACTTGTCTTGGCCCCTCCACAGAACCAGCCTTCTGGCCAGGTTCCCAGGAACCATAAAGGAACTGGAGAAACCCCTAGTGGCTGCCACCAGCAGCTTCCAGAAGCACTTGCTCCAGATTGTACAGCAAGACATGCAGGTGACTGGACACTTCCCATGCCCAGCGGTGCCCATCCGTTCCCTAAAGTTCCATGCCTGACTCCCGGCACTCATTTGCCCCAAATGAGCTCCCAGCTGAGCAAGGGCAGTTGGGAAACACCTCCCATCTCACCGCAACCCCTTCCTGTTGGTGGCGAACCCCCAGGCTCTGGGATAGTGGGCCAAGAAAAAAGGCCTAGAGCTCCCCGCATTGACCGGCAAGTCAAGGTATATTCAGCACATACCCTAAGCAGGGCCTGACAAGCCACAAAACCCAAAACATGCTCATTGGAGGAGGCATTCTGGGAAAGGCCCAGTGATAAAATTTGTGCCTAGAAAAGAGGATGGCACAAGAGAACCAGCAGTGAAGGGGGTTAGGAATGATGAACAGAGCTTACTCCCATGTCCCTCTGTCCCCAGCCGCTGTTCAAGGTGCTATACACCAAGAGCTGGCTCACACAGGACACCCTGCGTCCCCTCATGGACAAGGTGGTGGACTTCGCTCATCACCTTGAGCATGTGACCCCACCGCTGGCACAGGTACCAGGAAGTGGTGGGGGGAGGCTGGCATGGGTGTGCAGGGCCCATGCCTTTGATCCTGATGACCCTACCCTCACTCTCCCAGGAGACTCTGCAGGAGGTGCACCGTTGTGTGGTCCGCGATTACCTCGGGCAGGTGCTGAGGCCCCACGAGAGGTTCAGTGGCCTGGATCGTGTGAACGGCTCCCATAAGATGGGCCTGGATGCCCAGGCCATCAGCAGCACCTTCAAGGGCTTGGTAGGAGCAGTATCTGAATGGCAAGCAGTGCTCGGTCTCTGGCCAGTCAGGCACTTCCTATTCTCATTTCTTCTCATCCTGTAAGGAGCCCCCAGGGCAGGTGCAGGAGCGGGTAGTGGAGAAGAGAGCTTACACTCGTTCTCCAGACTCCATTGGGTGGGGGACGCGGCGCTGGACTCAAGAGGGACAGACCCGGGTGGCAGTGTCACTTTACGTTATATTTGCATACAGTTGTGGATAAAGGTGAAGGGATAAGGGTTATGGTGGGCAAGATCTGTGGGAGGTCTTTCCCCACTCGGACGGGAACACTTTGAGCCATACCCAAACCCCTTATCTGGGCTGCTGGTCTCCTACTGGTGACAGGTTCCAGGCAGCACTTCCCTGGTCAGGGCTCGGATTTCCCATCTGTGTAGACAAGAAGACATCTCTGGAATCATTGCCGATGTCCCCTTTGTTTACTCCCCACCCCCACCCCCACCCCACCTCCGGCCCCCCGTGGCGTCTTATGAAGAGCAAGCCCCCCGGCGGCAGATACATGGGATGGGTGCATCAGGGCACTAAAGGAGGGGTTGTACGTAAGGAACTCCATGGGGAGGTGGACCGCAGCACACATCTCCCTGTCTCCCCAGGGCTCTGAAGCCACGTGGCTGGACCAAGCCATCCTGTGCGTGGCTGAGATCCTGGGCGAGACCTACAAAGACGACATCCGGCGGCACCTGGAGACGCTTATACGAAGCTACCCAGACATCAGGTTTGCAGACTCTCCTCCCCCACTAGCTTCTGACCGAGAGCCAGGGGTCACTGGGACCTGGCACTGGCGCCTTCAGCTATGAGTGCAGGCGAGGAACAGGGGGAGGAGAGAACTGAGCCTAAGCCCCAGAGCGAACCTCTATGGACCGTGTGCGCATGTGCACGATGGAGGGTCACCGGGAGCGTAGGCGAACACCACCTCTCCCAGGCGTTCTCCATCACCCGTGGACAACGTGGCACCTACCCCCCGGGTGTAAACCCTCTCTAGAATCCCTCTGAGGCCTCGACAGAAAGGAGGCTCAGACTCAGGGCTGTGCGGGGTACTGAGTCATCGGACCCCGTGGAAATCCCGGGGTTCGACTCCCTCCAATGCTCTCGGAGATTCCGGGATGGAAAGGCCGCTGAAAACCCCGAGTCCAGCCCCTTCCCTGGCTCCCGGCTGCGAGCAGCCGCTTTGCTCTGCCAGGTTTTGCAAGCCTTTCTAAGTGTGCAGTTTCCCTACCGCCCCTTAGAGGTTCCCCAGCACGGTTCGGCCCTCCCTTCCTGGCTCCAAGGGCGGCCCTGGACGGCTGTGGGGAACCAGGGGGGAGGCAGTGTCTCAGGGGGCCCCTTTGTACCTGCATCTCCCCCACTCGCCGCCCCCCTCCAGCCTCCCCATCCCCCGTCCCTGCCGCTGCTTTGTCTCGCATACTGCAAAGACATTCCGCAGCCTGCAACCTGGCCTCCACCTCCCTAGTGTTCTGCCAGTTCCTGGAACCTCCCCTAGGTCAGATTCCTTGTGTTGCCTCTGAGCAAAGCTTCTTTCGACTGCGTGCTTGCTCCCTCCCCGGTCTCATGCCTGTGCGCTTCTAGGTTCAGTTGCTGTGCACAGGTCCACAATCCCGTTTCTGTTTAGAGTCCTCATCCCCTCCCGGCCTGGGATGGTCCCAGCCTTTCAGCCTCTCTGACCCAGCTCCAGGAATGCTGGGTGAATCATACTTCCTCCCAAGCCTGGGTTCCTGTCCTCCCTGGGGGCGGGGCGCTCTGCAGTAAGGACCCCCTTGTCTCCACAGGCGTGACCATATACTGGCCATTCTGGCGCTGCGTAGACTCGGCCGCCGTAGGAACCAGAGCCTGTTGCAATATACCCAAGACTTGCTGAGGGCAGCGCCCGAGGTCGGGCCCTTCCCGCGCCGTGTACTCTTTGAAGAGATCGAAGTGCCCACCTCTGTGGATGTGCTCATCACCTGCATCTAGGGCTGACTGGCTGACTGCCAGGCAGGAGCCGGGTAGGCGGAGGGCCTGTCACTCTCCCTGTGACTGACCCCAAGTTGGGAGCCCAGTGAGTCACTCTGGCCCTACCCCCATCTGTGAAGCCCGGAGCATGGAATTTTTGGTCTCAGTGCTTGGCTGCTCAGTCAGGGGGAGCCAAGAGTGGAGGCATTCCAGGCATTTGTGGGGGAGTCTTTTGGGGTGGCTGATGCTCCTTGGAGGACTTCAGGCCAGGGAGGGCTTCCCTTTCTAACCGTCCAGCATATCCCCACTATAGTGAGGAGAGGAGTATTCTAAAAATAAATATGAATTAAAATAGTGCCTACGGTTGGGCAAACTAAGCTGGTTGGGAGGGTGATGCGGGAGGACCCAGCTGGTAGGTCGGCGGGGCCTTTGCTGACGACTGAATGAATTGGATGACTCATGCCAGTCCGAAGCTGGAAAAGCCCCTCCCTGTAGCTGCAGATGCAGGTCTTCAGGGGCTGGAGAGATGGCTCAGAGCTGAAGAGCGCTTGTTCCCTCTCTGGAAGACCCTGGTTGGGTTCCCAGCCCCCACACGACAATAAGCAATCATTTGTGACTCCAGTTCCAGAGGACCCAATGCATTCTTCCGGCCTCTGTGAGCATTCATGTGTATGGTGCACAGACACACATGTGGGCAAAACACCCATACATAAAGTAAAAACAAATACATTTAAAAAGCAACAAAACAAAGCCAGCCCTTCACCAGGAAGGACCCTGGGTCCATTAACCTCAGATACCACGCTGGTCTTGCCCAGTACTCTGCCCCATTCTGGGTAGCCTGAGCCCTGGTGAACACCGGTTCTGCAGCTTGAGGTATTCTGGTTTCATGCAGGAGGGACTTTCCAGCAATAAAAGTTGTTAGGTTACTGTGCGTGTAGGGTGGTGGTGGTGGTGTATGGGTGGGAAGGTCGTCATTCATGTTCATTCAGCCTTGTTTACACTTCCAGGAGACAGTACACCTGTTGAGATTTGTTTATAGCCTGAGGGACAGGCTGGGGGCTTATTTGCAATGATGGCTCCAATTTCCCGGGAGGCTGAGAGCCAAGACAGGATTGGCAGGGAACTGATGGCATGGGCTGTGACTGTTGGCTTACCCTACGGTTCTCCAGCAGGCCTCCCCTGCAGCTCTGAGCCTGACTCTGACACCTGCAGGTGGCCTGGGGTCCCAAAAGCCCAGGGAAGTTTCCTTCCTCAAGTGGAAGACCAGGGTTCTAAAACACTGCAGTATGAGGTGAGTGGACAGCACATCTTTCCCTGCTCTCCCAGACCCCTCTCCCTGGGATATAAGTAGCCAGAGGGTAATGAATGCCTGGGCCGATCTGCCTCCTCCCCCTGTGCTGGGACTGGAGCACAGAGCCATCCATCCATGTCTGAGTCTGCTGGGAGCCCTGGGGTGGATGTCCAGAATTCATAGTTCCTTCTAGGAGCAGGTGTCAGAGGCATTGTGACCACCACCACCACCACCACCACCACCATCACCACCACCACCACCACCACCACCACCATCACCACAGTGTGTATCAGAGCTGGATGCCAGGGCCAGATCAGCCCAGCCGGGGAGATCCAGACCTCCATGGGGAAGGGTAGGCAGGGCAGGAATGAGGAAGTGAAGTTGTTGAGGTTCCCAGGCTCCAAAGCCAGAGGTGAAGGCCAGGAATTGTTGACACTTGATAAGCAGTCCTTCCTGCTAGTAGGGAAACTGAGACCTGGAGAGGTCAAGTGGCCTTGAAACCTCATAACCTAGAGTTCAGAGTGCGAGAGGAACCTCTATCGGAGAGGAAGGGGAAATGGCCCATTCGCTGGCCAGGGGTCCCTGCTCGGTCCCAAGTTCCTGCTTGGTCCCACGTGTGTCCCACGGTGGCCACCAGAGTTCTGCTGGCAGTGCAGACAGGGTTCTGAGAGGTGACAGAAACCTTAGCTTAGACAAGTTCTCCCCAGGGAGCCCTCTACCTCCTGCACACCCTTCCCAGGCCCCTCACCAGGTCCAGCAGGGCCACATCCTGGATGTCCTGAGCCTCAGGGCTGAGCATCCAGATGAGTCTGTCTGTAGGCAAGTCTCTGGACCTGGCTGTGCCTCAATGTTTCCAGCTGTGAAATGGGCCCGCTGTCAGTGCCTCCCAGCCAGAGGAGCTAGCATGGAGCTGGCTGAGGGGGGTGGAACAGGAACTAGCCATAAAGCCAGGCCCCTGGCCTCCCTATGACCCCATGACCATAATATGCAAGACAATGTTGAAAGGTGATCCTGAGTGCGGCAATGGGGCCAGGGGCCGAGTGGAAGTGGAATGGGACCTCGAGTGTTCAGTAGAGCATGAGGTGGGTGGGCATGTCTGTTAGGAGAGAGATTTGTAGGGAGTGCCCAAGCAGCGTCACACAGCATGGGAAGGACTTGAGCCTCGTCTTTCCTAGAGCTCCAGACTGTCTTCCTCAGGGTTCCTAGACCTGGAAACAGGAAATCCAGGTTTCCTGGCCGGAAGTATGTCTGTGCGAGGAGCATCGACATGTATTCCTAGGAGCCTGGCAGTGACGCGGGCCTGGGGCCACCTTCCTAAGGTCACAGGTAGCCAGAGGCCAAGGGTACAAGTCAGGGGACTGAGGACAATGAAGGACTCTGCTGGCTCTGGCTGGTGGCTCCTCAGCCCTAAGAGTGGTGTGGTTTGGGAGCCTCCTACCCCCACGACCCAGAGGGACTCCTTAGGGTGTCTCCTTGACCACCCTGCTGTCCAGGCCAAGCTGGCAAGTGTGTGTGCGCGCGTGTGTGCGTGCGTGCGTGCGTGTGTGTGTGTGTGTGTGTGTGTGTGTGTGTGTGTGTGTGT